AGCGTTTGGGCTGAGCAAAGGCCTCACATGCTGTTCCTGTGCATAAGGACTCTGTGTCTATATAACAGAAATCTGGAAAAAATTGTTGGAATAGCAGCCCTGACCAGAGCACAGGTATTACCTTGTTCAGAAAGACAGAAGTACTGTGACACTCAGGATGTCACTGTGCACCAAGAACAGCAAGGAAAGTACAGCTGTAGAATGGACAGAAGCAGAATTGGGGTTTGGACAGTTCTCTGTAGGAGAAGGCAGTAAAAGAGCTACAGAGGTGGGTTAGAGCCCAGCTGCTGACCCCAGCACTGAACACAGCTGTCTGTGGGGTGCTGGGTGCCCCCAGAAATGGCACTGTCAGGGATGTACAGTGGGATTGTCAAAAGGAGAGCCCAGGTATTCCCAGGCACAGTGGCTGGCACAGCTCTTCTCACCAGCTGGGAGGGCACAAGAAGAGCTGTGGGCCTTTCACAGCTGCTTTGGGCATGTATGAAGGCCTTGCAGAGGGACATTTTAGGAAATAGTCTTTGATCTAGTGCCTCCATGGTTAAATTAATTGGAAAGTCAACAGAAGGGATGATATAACTCAGATTTTGCTCCCAAAAGGAGGGAGCTTTATAAGCAGGGCTGTATATAGACTCAGCAGGGGTGGAGGGGTGCTCAGTGGAATTGGGGCATGCATGCAGACTCTGACCTCTCTGGATTTAGGCCTAGCCTTGGAGAATGGGCTGCTAAAAGCACATTCACTGAAGAGTTCATGGACTGATTGTAGACTTGAAGTCTTGTTTGTGACAGTACAATAATTATCTGTGATTCATATTTGCAGCAAGGGGAAAACTGGGAGGAAAATGCTGTAAATATAATTTCATAAAGAACTGCTTCAAAGTGGTGTTAGAAGTAATAGAGGAGTGAGGAAGACCATCAGAAGACTTCACTCCTGATGGCTGGAAGGGACGGAGATAAAGTAGAAACTGGCAAAAGTCAAGTTCAATTAGATGTTGCAAAGGAAAATTAGCGAATACTGAACAGTGTCACTGACAATTAATAAGGAAGCAAGGAAAGAATTATCAGGACTGACATCCAAGGAGGTGAAGGAAGCAGAAGTATTAAAGTAGAAACCACAAGAAATATATATATATATATTACCTCCATCAGGATGATATTATGAATGTGAGGGAAAGGGTCGCTTACGGTGAGAAGTTCACAGAAAACGAAAATTACTGGGTCAGCACTGAAAGGCAAAAGCTGTTGAAGCTAATGCAGAAGGTGTGAGAGCCCAAGAGATCTCAGTTCCACTTTGAGCCAATTAAGCTGCAAGTGCAGAGGAAAAGGTCCACAATAAATCTATCAAGTTCCACAGGATTAGCTTGTAGTGGATATAATACCTCTTTTTCCCTTCTTTTTTTTTGGGGGGGGGGTGGGGACTGGTATGGGAGCAAGTCAAGGAAAATAATCCTGTCCAATTCAGAACTCTTAAACCAACCTCAGAGGTACTATTCAGAACTTCAGAGCAAAGTTTAAATGAAAGAATATTTAAATCCTGAAAGCAAACACAACATGGATTTACCAAAGGCAGGTTACAAAAACGAATTTAATATCTTTATTTGATTAAAAAGAAATTCATTCTTGGGACAGAGGAAGTGTAGCGGTCCCGCCTGTCAGAAGTTCAGGTAAGCGTGCAATCCTGTGAGATGTTATCATTAGTTCAGCTTCAGGAGCCAGGGCTTGGTGCAACACCTGTACATGAATAGTCTCTCTAAGAGAGAGCACAAAAAGCAGCCCTGAGTGGACAGCTGGGAGTTCCTCTGCAGGAGGTTCATGTTTAGTGTTTGCTTTAATGATTTTTGGCACAGAAGGCAATGGTGTGCAAGTGGAATTTGTGATGAGACAAAACCAGGTGTGGTCAATACAAGGGAGGATCAAAATACCATCCAGGAAGGCCATGAGCACCTTGAGAACAGGAGTGAATTGGGTGGCATGAAAGCTGAAAGCTAAGATTATGAATGGAAGGTTATGCTATTTGGGGCAATAACAGACATTCTGACTCTAATCTGGGATAGCATTATTTGGCAATGGCAGAGGAGGAAAGTGCATAGATAGGTACAAATAAATTGCTGAATTATTCAGGCTGCCAGACTGTTACTGGGGGGAAAAAAAAGACAAATGCAGCTCTGGAAAGACTAGAGGAAAGGACTTCTTGTTGAGTGAGGGAATTGCCTCTGCATGAGGCACTGGTGAGCCTTTTTTCCTAGCTCATGAGAAGTAAATCTGTAGTAAATAGGGGCAGAGGGAGCTACTATAATTCTGTGAGATTTCCCAGTTTTCATGGTGTAAATGAACAGGTTGTTTTGGTAGAAGAAAGGCGTTGCTTGTTTAACTTGGTATAATGAAGACTAAAAAGAGATACAGTTTCTCTCTCTGTGAGTGTAGTAAGAGTAAGCAGGAGCAAAAACAGCTGGTGTTGGAAAAGTTGGTGTAAGAATGACTGGGCATAAGGGAACTGTGAGTAAATCCCCTGAAGACAAGAAGGTGAGGGTGCCCAGCCATCCCTTTTGTTTCAGTACGTGCGAACCCCAAGCAGTTTCAAGCACAGTGGGGCAGACTGATGATGAAAATTAAGCAGCTCCAGAAACAAGGCAGTGAAAGTTGAAGACAAAGATAAATTAGGACTGAGGGAGACTGGAAACCGACTGTTGCCAGTGAAGTAGCACTTCTTGCTCTGCTCTGGTTTCTGCGCAGGTTTTTGTGGAGAAGTGCTGCTGACACACAGAAATACAGAGGATGTAACAGAACTGAGAAAACTTCTTCTCTACAACTTGCTGTTTTTCTTGAATGCATTCCTCATTGACTCACTCTCTAATTTAGTGTTCCTGTATTTAAATTGCAGCATGCTTGATAAGACTAATGTGGTCTGAAGCTGAGGCATTCCTCGACTGTAATTGATTACAGACAGGGAGCTTACCTTCCTCCTGGGTTTGTCTCTGAAACATTTGCTTAGGCTTAAAATATTCCACTTGGCTTTTCTTGAAGCGACAGATGATGTTTTGTGCTTCTTTGTGGAATTGTCAAGATAAAAAGGATAGGTGGTTTGGGGCTGCTGCATTTGCATAACCCTGAAAGGTGGCTTTAACTGATGATAAATTTTCATCTAATAACTGTGACCAAGTCCTCAGAGCCACTGCCACGTCCCTGGGATAAACAGCCATAACAGTGCTGGCAGAGAAACTCTGCTCCCTCTGCTTTGCTCTCCACTGGGAAAAGCAAAAAGCAGACCCAAAGCACAGGAAATCCCAGCCTGATCCCTGGAGAACAAGAAGGGGTCTGGAGCCTCCTGGGATGTTCCTGTTATAACTCTCAAAGGTCATTGCTCCAACCATGGGCTCAGCAAGCAGCCTGTTTGATTCCACAAGTGGAAGCTGCATTGGATGCGAGCAGCAGAGGAGAGAGAGCAGAGCCAGTCTGCCAGGTTACAGCAGTGGTGGTGTGCAGGGACAGGAAGGTGGAGGTGACAGTAAACGCTCCAAACTGCTCCATCACTGTCTTTGAGGTGCAGATTGACAACAAAAGAGCTGGAGTTTTCTGCTGGCAGTGTGTGCTGTTTAAGGTGTATACCCATGGTTCTGTTTGAGGTGTGTACACCCTGAAACCTTCTGGGGTGTAGGGTGTATTTTGTTGCCTTTTCCTGTCGGAGCAGCAGGACTGAGGTGCCTGCTTTCCTGTCAGTTTTGAGAAAAGTGCTCTGGCTCTTGTCCCCACTGCTGGTGCTGGAATGCAGCTTCCTCAGTCGGATCAGCTCAGTCTGTCAGTGGGATGAGTGAGTCCCTCTGGGTAATCAGTAACTGGAGCTGGTGTTGGAGACATGCCTCATCCCTCCTGCCCCTGCTGCTCATGGGGGAGCAGCACTGCACTGAGTGCCCTGACAGTGCTCTTTGGGAGGGATGAAAGCGTGTTCTCACGGGGGAACCTCTTCCTCTGTGGGCTTACATTAGCCACAAAACATCAGAGAGTACTGATGTGGACATCACTAAGATCCATGGATCCGGTGGGAGGCTGAATGGCCTTTTGTGTGACTGCTTGTAAAAAGGAGTTAGTGGCAGTGCCTGGGGTATAAAGCAGCCTGGGTGCTGAACAACCACAGGTTGGTAGGTCTTGCCAGGAACTTTGCAGTGAGTGCTGGAGCCAGACCTAGCTGTAACGTGAGAGACTGCAATTGTGTCACCCAAAGTTTTGTTATCTACCTCCTGAACTTAAATTCCTGCTCCACTTGTACTTTTCACAAAGCAGATTTCCTCCTGCCATCAGATAAGGCATTTGCACGTGGCCTGAGGTGGCATTTTAGGTGGTTTGAGTTTGCTTACAAGTGGCTGCTTCCCCAGTTCATCTGTACAAAAAGCAAACACAAACTTGGCTTCTCAGACTGTGTGATGAGGCTGAAAGGTGTGGAGGAGGGCTCAGATTGTGCTATGAGGTATCAGGCTCCTGGTGCTCCAGGCAGGTTTCAACAACCATCCCAGCCAGATGCAAGTGAATGCAGTGAGCTGGTGTCCCAGCGTGGCCTCTGTGCCTGCAGGCAGTGCTGCTGCTCCCTGCCTGTGGGCAGGAGCTCAGGCTGAGCCTTCCTAGAAATGGGCTGTGCTGGCACAAGTGACACTGCTGCATGGCAAGGGCCAAGCCCAGGGCCCCCAGCTGACATGCCACGTGTGGAACTGTTTCCAGCACATTGGGGGATCCTGGCTCTCTGCCTCCAACACACGCTCGGCCCTGCTCTCCCAGCTCTCTCTGTGCCACCATCGTTCCCACTGCTGCTTTCTGGAACTGATGTTTTTTTCCTTTTACAAGCCTTTGTAACCCTTATCGCCAGTGCCACTTGTCAGATTCTGTTTTTACATTGCTTTCATCCCTCCCAAAGAGCACTGTCCGTGCAGTGCTGCTCCCCCATGAGCAGCACGGGCAGGAGCATGCTTGGCCAGGGTCGTTGCTGACCTCCTGTCTCTCTCATTTTCTTCCAGTCCTGGACGCACAACATCCAGCGGGAGAAGGAATTCCTGAGAAAGCTGGTGAAAGCCCGAGTCATCACTGACCTCACCAGTGGGATCTGAGTGGCTGCAGCCACTGCATCCAAGGGAGGAGATGAAGACATGCTGCAGCTCTGGGAGCAGGCACTGGCAGCCCCCTGCAAGAATCCCACCTCACTGAAGACACACAGAGATGCCCAGGTGCTCTGGGAAGACCCTCTTGCATTGCCAGTCTGCATGAGGGTTACATCTCCCACCTCCAGGCCCAGAGCTGGCAGGAGGTGGGCAAGGGGCTGAGTGGACAGTTCTTGAACTCTGCATCGCAGACAGATCTTCTGCATCCTGAATTAGACAGGAAAGACTCAGGAGAGAGAAGAAAGGTTTGTGAATACAATGATCAGTGCCAAATGGGAGGTGATGCTGCCCCGAGGCAGCAAAGCCTGAATGTACAAAGTATTATTTTTTAAAAGACTCTGCTGGAACCATACTAGAAATACCAAGGTACAAGACAAAGTCTGCTTGCGCACAGCCCTGTGAAAAACCTGGCCTCTTCATGCTCCATCTGCATTGTCACCAGCCTCTGACCTTTCCCCAGGAAAACAAATCCATCTAAAACTTCAGTGTCATTGGTGCTGCTATGATTCAAAGGGAGAATAATGGCTTCCTCTCATTCTCCACTTGGAGCTCCTGGATGGAGATGAGCATGGGTTTGTTTTTCTGCATTTTTCCTCACATCCTCCACAGAGGCAGCAACAGCAGCCACTGACTTGGCTGTGTTTTCCATAGCCATTTGCTCTGCCTCTGCCCTGACCTGAGGTGGAGCAGGGAGCCAGTGGCTTTCTCTGCCTACAGCAGACCCTCCCCGCCTTCCTGCCTGCCACGATGCAGAGGAGCCTGCCCCATTGTGCTGAAGGCTTCCAGGCCTCTTGGTTTGTGCCTGCTGTGCAGGGCCCCTGAAGAGTCCGTGCAGACTTGTGTCACTGTTTCTGGACAGCATCTCGCTTTGGTTTTGTGTGGGAGGGGAGTAATTTATTCTTTGGAAGGAGGTCAGATCTTGAGCAGAGATCTCAAGCTTTACAGTTTGAGAGCAGACTGCTGAAGATGTTTGTTTTACGTTCCAGACTCAATCATGTTCCCTATTTAAGCGACGTGTGACCTCAATGATGATGGAACCTGATGGGAACTCTCACCCTCTGCTCGGCCCCTGCTCACTCCATTTCCAGGCTCCTCCTGTGCTGCTCTAGCACTGCTGCTCCTCCTGCTCTCAGGAGCACGTCCTTCCTTTGCCCTCTTGGTCCCAAGATGCACTATTTGCACATTTGATTTGTATACGTATTTCAGAGGAGCTGGAATAAACTGATCAACGTGGCCAAGTGCGAGGGCAGCAGGGTGGTCTCGTCCACCTGAAGAGCGTGGGCAGAAGGGAGGTTGCCAAGGGAATGAGCAGTTCCATGTGGAAAGTGGCTCCTGTGCTCTCCTGGCCTGGAGCAGGCTGGAGTGCACCCACAGGCACTGTCCCAGTACCTGGGTGTCAAGGCACTGGCACAGACCAGCCGGTGCTGGGGTCAGTGGAGGGGGATCCCAGAGGGATGTGGGTTGGGCTCATGGTCCTGACACTGTGTCTGACATAGCCCAGGGATTGCAGTCTGCCTTGCTCTGGACTGAAGGGAGCATGACCCTGTCATGGGCAAGGAATGCTCGGAGCAGGGCTCGCATGGCTCCCCTAGACCAGCTCTGCACCTGCAGGGGTTGTGGCTTTGGACCTGAGACCCCCAAGGGGGTGTGCAGGAGGGGCAGGCAGTGGCCCAGGCGTGGGGCAGACCAGCAAACAGTACAGGATGGTTTGAGAGCAGGCTGCAGGCAGAGGCAGCTCCCAGGACATGGCGCTGAGTGCTGCTTACAGAGCAGTGTGGGATGCCTCCCTCAGGAGCCTCTCCTGCCTGCTGTGCCTGTAGCCAAGGAGCTTGCTCAGGGGCAAGTCCTGCCCAGCTTCTTGTTGTGGCTGCTGTTTTCCTTGTTATCTGGGAGCAGCTCAAAGTTCCTGCTGCTTCTGGGCTGCAGAAGGCATGCTGGGAGGCTCTCCTTCCCTTTACCCTTCCCATGTCCCATCCCCACTGCTCTGGCCTCCCAGCCGGGCAGTCCCCATTCCCCCAGGGACATGCCTCCTTTCAGGATGCTCTGTGAGGTTTGCAGCAGGTTTTTGAGCATATGCTGTGGCAGATATTCTTTTTAAATATCTCCCAATTTGTTTATCCTTCTTGCAGACTCCATGGGACTGAATTTCCATGGATCTCACCAGACAACCCTCCCTTTGCAGTTCCTGGGTGTCAGCCTGGCCTTGGGACCGTCTTCTGTTGAGTCCCAGCCATGCTGGCAGGGGGAATGCTTGGTCTGGGTCTGGCTGAGGCTGTGGCTGGGGAAGGGTTGACACCTACTCTCTCAGTCTTGGTGCTTTGACCAGCTGCCATGAGAGCCCTAGGGCTGCATCCATGGGCTGCAGTGAGCTGAGGTGGCAGAGTGGGCAGATGCATCTGCAAGGAGGAGGGAAGAGCCTTTGGTGTCTCTGCTGGGACCCCCACAGAGGATTATTCAATTGCATTATTGAACACTACAAAGCTCCAGAGCACTTTTATCTTCCAACTCACTGGCTCCAGGTCCAAGGACACAGCATGGCCTCTGCTCAGCCTTCCCTGTCATCCCAGCTCTCCATCACAGCCATGAATAGGTCCTGATGGGAAGTTGACCCTGCAGACAGGGAGGTGACTCCAAGCCCTTCCCTCCACCTTGACAGGGATCTCCAGGCAGAAGAGTCCAAGTGGAATAGATGAATGCATGGTCCATAGTGACTGTGGTGGGTCAGGATGACCTGCATGCAGAAGGAAAGAGCATTTTGGGGACCAAGACTCTCCTCTGGCTCACTGACACCACAGAGCAGCCCGTGGCCAGGTGATGGGGCTCCAGCTGCAGGAGCAGTGCACAGCACTGGGTTTTGCTGCTGGGTGCTGTTCTTTTGGCTGCCTCCCCAGGTGCACCTGCAGCCACCTCCCGCCCTGGAGACGCCGCGGTGCGGGTCAGAGCAGGGTCAGTGGGACGGATGTGAGTCTTGGCCTCTCCCTCACAGTGACTCACCTTGTCAGATCGGAAGGGAGAGCCCAGGGGAATTCTCCACAGCCTAAATATAGAGCGGGGTTGCCTGGTGCCTCTGATGCGCCGTGGTGCAGAAAGGCCACTCGGGTGGCAGGGAACTGCCTGGAGACAGCCCAGGGAAACACAGGGAGACCAGGGGCAGTGACCACTGTGGGTTTTGCTCCAGCTAGTGCAGAGAGCAGGTCTGGGGAGCTGCAGGGCAGCCTGCATGTGCTGCTCTGGAGGACAGGAGGTGCTGGAGAGCTGCTGCTGCTGTCATGCTGACCACACCATGAACTGCTTGTGCATTTCTGTCAGTGCCCACCACACTGGCACTGGGATCCCACCACCAGCTCACCCTGTTAGGCTTGGCCATGCTGTGGCCTCGAGCTCACACGGGCCAAAGGTAAGCACCATGGCCAGGTAGCATGAGGCAGCAGTGGGATCCAGCCCAGCATTCCTCATCCCAGCATCTCTGGGCTTCCAGTGTCTCCTTCCTTGGAGGGAGAAGTGGAGAGGTGCTGCCTGGCCATGCTGTGCCGCCCCTTGAGTGTGAGCACTGCTGGGAGGGGGGGAAGGTGTCAGGACAGGGCCATCTGTGTCAGATGGGCACAGTTGGGTTGGGTACAGGCAGAACTGGACACGGGCAAGGGCTTCCAGAGTGTTTGGCAGGGAGGCAGCCACCATGCTGAGCTCCATGGGCACCAGCACAGTGTGTGCTCTCAGTCCAAGTGTGTGTCACTCACAGTATTAGAGACGTGTCCTTCAGTGCAGGAGCCCCTTTGGGGCACAGCCCAGCCCCTCTGGGCTCTGGCTCCTTGCACAACCTGCACAGGGTCTCGAAAAGGCCAGTGCATTTGCCGGTACTGTACCAAGCCAAGATGTAAGAACTCAATGAGTTTTTAAAATTAGTTTTAGTTTCTGCATTTTTTTTTAAATTTTCCCTCTAGGCAGGGAGGGTAAGAGTCTTGCAGGCTCCTCCAAGCCGGCTTATGTCACATCAATTCAGTCATATCACAGAAGCAATAAAGCTATCAAACAAGCTTGGCTGGCCTCTTTCTTCTGCTGCCTTGGGCCTTTTGTATGGGAGGCAGAGGGATTCCCCTGGTTGGGCTGTCCCCTGCCTGGTTTCACTGCTGACTGCTCTGGAACAGTAACCCAGCTGCCAGGAGCTGCAGCTGGCCAATGCCACTGGCCTGGTGCTGGGGACGGGAGAGGTCTGTGCTCCTCCTTTCAGGTGACTTTGAGGGGTGGGAGAGGGGATTTTGGGTTGGGTTCATTTAGTGTTGGAAGGCACAGGCACCAGAGCTTGTCCTGCCTGTGACTGTGGCTGCTCTCCTGGGGACTCCCTGCCAGCAGGATGTCTTCCTGCCAAGGGTCACAGCAGCAATCGGGCTGGGCGCGACCCTGACAAAGGCAGGTGTCCAGCCAAGTGACCTTCTCACCACAGTGTCCTGGAAAAGGAAATGGTTTAGGAAGCCAGGACCGAGGCTGTGTCCAGCTCTCATACCTGCCAAGTCCCAGCTGGAAGAGTGTAACTCCTTAGGCAAGCCCTGGTGATGCCACCAGACTCCCAGAGGCACAGGATATGTTGGAGACAGTTCCATCCCTTGCAGGCACGGGAAGGCTAATTCCAGGTGAGTGACTGGTCTGCCAGACCCCCCAGCTTCCAAACAAGGTGTGGGTTGTTGCTAGCACCAATGGGGCACCAGAGAAGCAACTGCCCAGCCCTCCCTGATGCATGGTGGCAGGTTTCAAGGAGATGCTGGAGCAGCTCAAATCCTCCCTTTGTCCTTCCTCTTTTTATAGCATTTAAAGAGCTGGGCCACCACTGCCATCTGGCTGAGCCAGCCCCAGGGATGGCCCATGCCCTGTCCTGGCCGTGGGAGGGCGGAGGAAGGAGAGAGCACAGAGCCTGGGACCAGGGCACACGAGGACGTTCAGGTCAGCTGAGACAAGGAGCCTTGTTCAGAGATATCCCTGAAGGAGCCACGTCACTGCCGAGATGGGACACAGCCTGCGTCACAGCTCTCTCCCACGTAGGTTGTGTCACACCCAGCCATGGCCTCGGACAGCAGTCACGACGAGCTCAGTCCTGCCATCTGGCTGGCCTGCATCACCCCCCTCCTGCCGCTTGCAAGGGTGGCACCTTTAGGGACAGATGTCACAGCAGGTCCTGGCTCAGCTCAGCAGGGCTTATTGCAGACCAGACAAGGCACCTGTGACACCCCAGCCCCAGGGGTGCAGGGGCAAGGGCTGGCACAGGCAGTGCCCTGGGAGGTACAGAGGAAGAGGACAGAGGCCAGGCTTTGCACAACCACCTCTTCCACATGACTGGGAACACTCTGGGCTCACCTGTATGAGTGCCCTGGATACCCTGTGCCATGCCCCACATAGCCCCCTGCATACAACCAGCATCACAGGCTCAGGACTTCCTGGCTGTGTCCTGGGGACATGAAGACCTGCCCAACCTAGGTAAGGTGGGAGGGGATGGGGTGACCCCTCTGCTGAGCCAGCCCCCGAGGCTGTCTCCAGGCCCTGAGGGTTATCAGTGGGGGAGGCAGCCTTTCCCTTCATTGGCAGCCCTCTCTTCCTGGGCAGCTTCCCTAGTATGGGCAAGGCTGTGGCCAGACCCAGCTCCATGGGGACAGCCAGACAACCTGGAACAGGACATGCCACTCACATTGAAATCTTCCAAGCAGGCAGCTGCATTAGTCCGTAGCCCTGCAAAGCAGAGGAACCTGTTCCCTGTCTCTTTCTCTACCCCAGGGAGGCACCAGGGCCTCCAAAACTCTGCTGGGCCAAGGCATCCACGGGCACTGCTTCCGATGCCTGTGAGGACATCTCAGATGGGAGCGGCCGTGGCCGTGGAGCAGCAGTCCCACGGCAGAGCCCGTGCTCCCACGCAGGGCCACTAGCAGCCAGGGAGCCACCCAGAGCCTCAGACCAGGTCAAGCTGCTTGTGCCAGGACAGGAGTGGGGGTGAAAGGGGGGGGTCCGGGGCCGCACGGTGCCACTCCAGGGCAGGTGAAGCAGCAGCTCCGGGCCGCGTGCCACATCCGCTGTCCCTGCTCGCGGTGGCAGGGACGGCTCAGTGGGCGCCGCCTGTGCCCGCACACTCCCTGGCAGGTGACGTCGCAGGAGGACGCGGGAGTTGTGACCCCCGCGCCGGATAATCCGCGGAGATGAGAGCAGGCGAGGCGGCGGCTCCGCAGGTGGCTGCAGGAGCGGCCATCCGACCCTTCCGCGGGGCCCGGGCTGCCGGGCAGGAGGTTAAAGCCACGCGGGTGGCCCGGGGTCGGGGCGACCTGAGCGTGCAGCCGCGGCACAGCCGGCGACCGAGCCGCTGGCCCCGCTCCAGCCGGGGAGTTGCATAAGCCCGGGGAGCAGCGCCGGGGCGGCAGAGCGCCGCCGGGGCAGGTGACACGGCCGGCGGCGTAGCGGGGCGCGCAGCCCGCCCGGGCGCCCTCGGAGCCCGCAGCCATGAGGGCTGGACCCGGGGGGCTCGCCTGGCCCGGGGCGCGTCCCGGAGCTCGGCTCCGGCCAGGGGAGCACGTGTGAAGCGGGGCCGAGCGGAGGCGGCCCCGGGATTTGGCACGTTCGCAAGGAGCACTCGAGAGCCCCGGGATGGACGCGGAGGGCCCCGGGCGGTGACGTAAGGACTCGCACGGGCTCGGCTCGACTCGCCAGCCGGCCCCCATGTCCCCGGGGCCAGCGGCGGCCCCGGCGGAGGGAGGCAGGGCGGCGGCAGAGGTAAGGAGCCCGGTGCCGGGCGGCCCAGCCCAGGAGGAGCGGGGCGCGGGGCGCGGGCGGGCGGGAGGCCGGACTCCTCCTCCGGCGCGGCCGGACACGAGCGGCAGGCACGCCGGTGCCCCGAGTCAGCTCGGGATGCTTGGGACGCGGGCCGGCCCCGCCGCTGCCGGGAGCCGTTGGGATAGCCCTGACCCTGCCCGAGAGCCCATCCCCGCCGGATCCCCACGTGTGCAGGGAGTGCCCCGCGGGCTCTGCTCCCGGAGCGCTCCGGGAAGGGCTGAACCCTTTCCCGACGGTGTCCGTGTGTCCGTCCGGGTTGCGCTGTGGTCGCGCTGTCGGGGCAGGAAGCACCGCTCACGGGGCGTCCGTCCGTCCAGGCTGCGGGTCCGCCTGCCCGGGAGTCGGCCGACGGGCAGGTGGCGGTAGCGGGGGTCGGGCTCCGGGGGTCCCGGTGCTGTTGCCGGCGGGGTGCGAGTTTCCGCGGGAGCTCGGAGGCGGTGCGGATCACGGCGAGAGCCGGTGCTGAAGCGGGTTGGGCTGCGGATCCTGCTGCTGGCGGGATTCCGGTGCCTTCCTGATCCCGGTGCGGTCCAGGCGCCCGTGCGGGTCGGAGTCCCGGTGCCACTACGTGCGGATCGGGGCGCCGCTTGGTATCCTGGTGCCAGTGTGAGTCGGGGTCCCGGTGCCGGTGCCCGCCCCGCCGGTCAGGTGACGGTGGCTGGAATTTGACACCGGCAGCGACGACGGGAGCGGGATGGAGCCGCCGGTGCCCCGCACTGCGCGTCCGCCTGACGCCGCCGCCACCGCACCCCGAGACGCAGCGGGAGCGGCCCCGGGAGCAGCGGCGGGAGTCGGTGCCGGCGGGGCAGCGCCGGCCCCCGCCAGCGCCCCGCCCCGGCGCAGCGGCGGCGGGCGGCGGGGGGCGGCGGGGAGCGGAGGCGATGCGGGGCAGCGGCGGCCCGGGGGATGGTCCCCGCCGCGGGCACGGTGAGTGCGGGCCGGGGTGCCGGGCGACAGCGCCCGCCCCAGCCTGCCGGCGGCCCCGAGTCTCGGCGGAGGCTCGGACCGGGACTACGGGGGGGACGAGGGGAACCCGCTTCGCCGCCCACCTCCCGGCAATATTCGCGGGCCGGTGAGGAGTCTCGGGCCGCCCCCGGGCAAGTCCCCCCCGTTAGGCTACGGGGTGCCGAGCCCGACCCGGCGGCGGGAAGCGCTGGGGGCCGCGGCGGGGCCGGGGCTCCTGCCGGGGCGGGGAGAGGCGGCACCCCGCTGCGGGCGCCCGAGGGGCACGGGGACGGGCTCGCCCGCCTCTTCCCGGGGCTCCCGCCCGGCCCGTTGGGCGCGTAGGACAGGTGTGCGCCCCGGGCGGTGGGCAGGCGAGAGGCAAGGGGCGGGGGTACCCTGTGCTCCCCGGCTCTGCTGTCCCTGAGTTGGGGCCGAGTTTGGTCTCTGCCGTGTGTCCCACGTGTCCGAGTCCTCATACGTGGGGTTGATTTCTGATCCCCATCACTTCTTCTACCACGGTCAGCGCGAAGGGATGCAGGGCCTCCGCCGGTGCCCGCAGGTGTCCGAAGGGGTCTCTGGGCATCCCCCCGCGCTTCCAGGTGGGCCCCGCGGCTGCAGGGCTGCCACAGCTACTCCGGGATCCGAGACACTCACCGCGGACCTGGGGACACTTGGCGAGTGTCTGTGCCTCCCCGGGGGCCTTGGGCAGCCCGGGACATGCTCTCCCAGCGCCCCGTGCACAGGGCGGGCAGCGGCGCTCTCGCCGGGCTCTGCACTAGTGAGTGTGAGGTGGCTTGCTCAGGGATTGCGCCAATAATTGCTGTTGTTTAGCCCCGGGCAGGGGACACGTGTGGCGGGGGTCCAGACAGGTGCTCATATGGATGAGCTCTGTTCCGACCCCGGGAAAAAACCCTCCTGTGTCTATGAATCGCCCGGCAGGGCTCTGGCAGCCGTGTCTGGGGGAGATCCAGCCGGATTTCCCCGTGCAGGACATGGGGGTCTGCTGTGGGGTGTGCAGGTCTGGCACCGCCGTGGGGTGCCCGGTGCTGGGCTCAGCCCTGCCCGCGCTGGACGAAAGCAGATGCCGAGCGGGGCCAGCGTGGGCTGCGGTCCCGCGGGCTCGAGGAGCTGCCCCGTGGACGGGGCCCCGAGTCTGAGGAGGCGCTGCTTGTGTTAGTCCGGGCGCTGGGGCTCCCGGAGGCGAAGGGAGGCTGCCCTCGTTCGGCGCCCCGCCGGCAGCGCTGCCGCTGCAGAGTCCGGGGCCGTGCTGCCGCCGGACGGGAGAAGCCTGAATTGCACCGGCTGATCCGCCCCGTCCCGTCCCGTCCCGTCCCGTCCCGTCCCGTCCCGTCCCGTCCCGTCCCGTCCCGCCGGGGTGCTGGAGCCGAGGGGCCGCAGCAGGGAAGCGAGGACAGGGGAGTCCGTCCCATTCCAGCATGGCTCAGGGATCCTCGCCTGGCCCCTCCGGCCTGGGAAATCCATGACCTGGCGGCAGCGGCTGGCGTGTGGCCACGGCCACCACGGGAGCGAAGGGCAGCGTGGGCTGTGTTTGCCCGGGCTGTGGCGGCTGGTGCGGCCGGGGGGCGGTGCGAGCCCTGCCGGCACCGGGAGCGCATCCCGCCCGGTGCACGGCCCGGGAGCGCATCCCGCCTGGTGCACGGCCCCCGGAGGGGACGCATGGGTCTGGCAGCGCCCACTACAGACCCCTGGCACATGTGGCCAGTGCAGGGTGGCATCAGATTCCACAACTGGGATTTGGGGACCATCCCAAAATGCAAGAGGGACTGGAAGAAATTATGTTTTCTTCTTGTCCCAGCAGTGCCCAGGTATGTGCTTTCACTTTTTTTTGGTCAGGAGCGCTCTCCTCAGCATGTCTCCATCCCTTATTGCTTCCTTTGCCATGGAAACAAATGGGACGTGCTTGGGCAAAGCCAAAGTCATAGAGTCATTGAATGCAGAATGCCACTTAACTCCAAGGGGACAGTCCCCTTGAGAGATAGGATATGCAGCAGATGGGACAAGGAAACTACAACCCCTTTTGGAACCACTTCTAAAGCCCTTCAAAGCCAGGGCATCCTAGCTTTGGACACTGGGGCACCCCTGCTCTGCAGGTGGGGAAGGAGGCAAAGATGTGGCTGCAAACGGGAGTTTTTTGCTGCGGCACCTCTTGGGAAACATCACTCCCCTGAGACCGTACTTGCTGCTCCTCTGGGACCACACACAGCAGGGATGCAGTGCCTTTCTGTGTGTCAGGGCAGTGGATGCCAAGCTGTGGTGTTGTGGTGAATCACCACAGTGAGCCCAGCGTGGTGCTCTGTACCCTGCTGTGTCCCCGCAGGACCTGCCTGAGCATCCTGCCCCTTGCAGTCCCACTCATCCAGGCTGCTTAGGGGATGTGTGTCCCAGCTCGGCGCAGGCAGCAGCCTGGGGAGCCAGCACGGGGCCAAGGGGTGGCTGCACCCAAGGACCCTGTGCTAATGGACTTGGAGTTTCCAAGGTCAGGCTCCCACTGTGAGCAAGAAAAACATTCCCAGGGAAGGGCCATGGGAAAGGGCCCCCCTGCGCAGCACTCCCAGCCCAGCCGCTGCCTCACAGCCCTGCCTGGCATCCCAGGCTGTTCACACAAGGACATGGCTGCATGGCCCCTGAGGAGATGTGCTGTACAAAGGCTGGGTTGCCCAAGCTGCCCAATCTCTTGGAAGGGGAGTTCGGTGTGGTGAGGATGCCTGGCTATGCCAGGGGAGGAGAGGGGTAGGGGTGGGCCATGAATGGGGTGCAGGAGATGTTGTGAGGTTCTGGGGGGGTGAGGAACGGGGTGGCGGGCTTGGCCAGGGCAGGGAGGCATGTGCCAACTCTGAGCCAGCTTTATACCCACCCTGTGTGGGCACTGACCCCAACCTCTGTACTTGCAGCTAGCATGGACCAGCGACAGGGGCCACCAGAGCGAAGGCCTGCAGGACCTGCCACGCACCTGCAGCCCAAGGTGAGCCCAGGTCTGTCTGGCTGCCATGGCCAGGACTACATGACCCTATTCCCAGCTCGTGGGGCCTCATTCCTGGTGTGGGGAATGAACCCTGGTTGGGGCTGACCCTGCTGTGCTGTGATTCCTTGCAGGAGGGGACACTGTGGGGGTTCTTTGCCATCCTGTCGCTGCTGGCTGGGCTGGCCACAGGCACCCTGCGAACGCCCCACTGCAACGAGACGCTGGACGCAGCCCCCACGCCGCGGGGCACGGCCACTGCCAGCCTGTCTGGGGAGGATGCTGTGGAGGCGCCCCTTGCTGCTGCCTGGAGCCAGCTGTACGGTGCGTTTTGGGACAGGCCCCCAGCCTGGGCATGGCGGTCCCGTGTGTGGGGCACGGGCAGGTTGGGACCCTCTGTGGGGAGCCCCAGCCCATGCGGGGCTGTGGCTGCACTTTGGGGCTGGGCAGAGGGGATCTCAACACATGGGGCCCTGAGCTTCATGCCGGGCAAGTGGCAGAGCCCTAGAAATAAGAAGACGAGAAGATTCTTGGCTGGAAGTATCTTCCCACCAGCACAATCTCTCAGGCACCAGTCATTGCCATGGTGGGTGATCAGGAGGGACCCGTAGGTCACAGCGGGGACCGGCAGGCTCAGAAGGAGGGCGATGGGTGCAGGCTAGGTCATGACAGCGCCATCTCCTCCATGTGCAGGGGACAACGCGACAACAGGTAGCCCGGGCACCGCAGAGCTGGCGGAGGACCTGCTGCTGCGTGCCGAGCGCTCACCGCCAGGTGCCGGCAAAGCCAGAAAGGCGCGGCCGAAATCATCCTCGCAGCGCGCCCGCGGGCGCAACTGCCACATCCGCAACCTGATGGTGAAGGTGCGCGACCTGGGCCTGGGCTTCAACTCGGACGAGATCGTGCTCTTCAAGTACTGCAGCGGGTCCTGCCACCGGGCGCGCAGCAACTACGACCTGACGCTGGGCAGCCTGCTGCGGCAGCAGCTCATCGCCCCGGGGCCGCAGGAGCGCGTCCTCAGCCATCCCTGCTGCCGACCCACCCGCTATGAGGCTGTCTCCTTCATGGATGTGGAGAACACGTGGCAGACGGTGGAGAAGCTCTCAGCAGCCGAGTGCAGCTGTATTGGCTGAGGAGGGGGCCGCTGGCTTGGCCCCAGCTCGACACATGCCGACAGACTCCAGCTTGCCACATGCGGTGGCACTGTGGCTCAGAACGAGGGTTTGGCAGAGGCTGGTGCCCCTGCTGTTACGTGGCCACAAAGAACCGAGGTGAGACGGAGTCGTGACTGGAGTGTGGGTGGCCAAGCCCGCCCCTGCTCAGTGCCAAGCAGCTGGTGCCAGCGGCTACGTGGGGTCCTGGCTCAGTCCTGGGAGATGAGCTGAAGAGAGTATGGACCATCCCTACCACTGCCAAGGGTCTGCCAGCCCAGTGTCCATCAGGGACCGAGCTCCAGGGACCGAGCATCACCCAGGCTTCAGAGGGGGCAAACTCTCCCTGTCCCCTCGGGCACCCTGGGGTCAGTGGTGCAGGGAAGGGGTGTCCCTGAGGGCAGGGATGCAGTGGGGCCAATTTGCGCAGAGTGGAGTGGGAGCTCTGCACCTGGACCAGCAGCAGACCCTAGTATTCTGCAGGGTGTTTGTTCCTAGACACCCACTGGGACCCCCACCCCTGCCTGGTTCCCAGGATAGTGGCAGGGTCCCCGCGCTGCTCCGTGGTGCTGTGGCACTAAACTATTTATTACTCTAAATTATTTATTTATTGTTCTCGAGCGGCAGCTCCTATTTATGACTTTGGGCCCCCAGCGGCCGGGTGTAATTTAACCCCAGCGCTGCACTGAAGCCCTGGGCAGCGCCCCGTGCACCCCCGCACCCTTTTTCTATTATTTGTAAAATTTGAGGGATAAACTCTATTTTTGTACAGCCGCCTTTTCCTGTAGCAATAAAGCGATGGGCTGCGCGTCCAACCCCTGCGTGTGCCCGTGATGGGGACGGGGACGGGGGTGTCCCTGAGGTGGCAGCGGGAGGGTGCGGAGCGGTGCTGCGGAAGGCTCCGGCCGGCGCTGCCCGCCCCGCGCGGGGAGCGGTGCCGGCACTGGTGCCGGTGCGCGGTGCAGTTGCGCGGTGCCCAGCAGGGGACGCGCCTGCGTCGGAACTACTGCTCCCGGCGTGCGGCGCGGCGCTGCGGCAGGTCCTGGGCTGCCCGGTCGCGCCTGCGGGGCCGCGGGGAGAGGTGAGGCGGGGCCGGGGAGAAGCGGAGCGGGGCGCCGGGGCTGCTCGGGGAGTCCCGCGGGCGCCTCCCGGCCCGACCGCCGCGCCGAGCCGCGCCGCCCCGGTGCCGCCGCCCCCGTCGGGGCGGGAGGCGGGTCCCACCGCGATGCGGCTGCCCGTGCGCCGCCGCCGTCGCCCGCCCGCCGCCGCCTCCTGAGCGCCGCCGCAGCCATGGAGCGGAGGGCGGAGGCGCCGCCGCCGCAGGGCCTCGACTTCACCGTGGAGAACGTGGAGAAGGTGAGCGAACGCCGCCGGCCCGCGGGTGGCCGTGGCGGGGCGGGGGGGCCGCGGCGGGATGCTGCCGGTGCCGCGGCGCTGCGGGGGATGCGGCTCGGGGAGCGGGGGGCACCTGCTCGGCCGTGCCGGGCCCGGCCAGGGCGGCGGGCGGCGTCCCCTGTGCCCGCCCGCCCTGCCGCTGGTGGGGTCCGGACACCGGGCTGGAGGGGGAGCCGCCGGGGCAGCCCCGGAGGGAAAATGATGTGGCAGGAATGGGAGCAGCAGGGAGGGGTTGTGTTTCTGACTGGCGTCCTCTAGGTCGCCAGCTGCAGCGCCGGGCAAGGAGAGCCCACGGGTCTGGTCCTGGCTGCTGAACCAGCTGCATCAGTGTGACACCCATTATCAGTGTCTCCATTAGGCACGGAAGGAAGGAACTTTTGCCAGGTGCTGGGCATTATTGGGTATTACGGTTGGGAAAAGCCTTCAGTACGTGGATGGCCCATTGATACCTTTCTAAACCAGGAATCCATCTCCTTTGCTCCTGCTGGAGCTCAAGGTCTTTCAAAGTATCTGCAGGGCAACAGGAGTGAGGCTGATTGCTGAAATCTGGGATCCAGGGAATAGCCACGGCAAACCAAGGCCTGCTGGCATTACACTGCTATTGGAAGGAGCTCTGAGCAGCAGGGGTTCATCCAGAGATTAAACAGGGCACCTCAGTGAGCACACCCGGGAGGGCAGTGGGGCAAAAACCTCCCCTTAGTCACCTTGGAGGTGATGGGGGCAGGGCAGCAGAGGATGCATCCCTGAAGGGCAAACAGTAAGTGCATCAGTCTCCCACTTACCCTGTAGCCAGACATCCAGCAGACATCCATAGCTTGGTCCTCAGACAGTTAGTGGGAATCCCAGTGTCCTCATTTTTCCTCTATAAGAATAGACTGAGATCCTTGCCAAAGCAGTACTCATGGGCGTACTGGTGGGCACATAGAATCATGGAATCATTTAGCTTGGAAAAGACCTCTCATGTCCAATGGTTAGTGCAGCCCTGCCAAGCCCACTGCTAACCCATTTCTGAAAGTTCACACCCAGTAGGTTGCCTGGCCTCACAGCAGGTGTCAGGTCAGGGATGTCAGGTCTGTCACTGGGTGCTGGTTGCCTTTGTGGCTGCAGGTGAGACACAGCCCACCTCTCCCAGGGAGATGGAGACAGAGCACAGCCAGGGGATTAACCGATGTCTGGAAAATGCTACGTTCGTGCAACCTTCTGCAGCTTAATCTGCATCCATGCAGAGCTGCTGGATGATTTTGCCTCTGACTCCCTTTCTTTTCATCAGGCACAAACCGCTCCTTTGTTTGCACCAACAATGAGGCACACACTTGCCCGGGGAGGGTGGGCAGTGCCAGGGTGGGGGCACCCGGCGCCGGCCGCGTGAGGTGCGGCTGTGCCGAGAGGCAGCTCATCCTTGCCAAGCTGCTCGGGATTTAGTCTCCCAGTGCCTGGGAGGAGGCAGAGATGCCCTCCAGGATGCTTCGTCTCCCCTCCCCCAGCCTGCCTCTGCCTCTCCTGATCTCTGCAGGCTTTGCCATCGCAGTGGTGTCCTCTGAAGGTGCAGCTGTGGACTGCAGTGGGGCTCTGAGCTGCTGGTGGGGGCAGCAGCACAGTCCCTGAACAGGGGAAGAAGCATGGGGTGGGATCAGAAAAAACACAGAGGTTCAGCAGGCTTTTCCAGGAAGGTCTGTGGGGTACCAAGTGAAGGAAAGATGGGCTTTGCTGGGAGCAGGGTTGGTGGGAGGCAGGTGGGTAGAGCCGCTTTGTCAGTGGTGATGCTGGCAGATTAGTGATGATGCTCCTACTGGCCTGGGTTCTTCCACCTGCCAGATTTTGTGCATGTCTCTATTAATAATACTGAATACTGATTTAAGTCAGGGTTTGACTCCACTCTGAGTCACTCAGTGATAAGTGCTGGGGTTAGGAACAGCTTGAGGAGCTGGTTATCTCATAAGTCAGAGGGCTGAAGCCTGTCCAGGTCCCCTGCAGTGGAAGTCTTCATGTGTGACATTTGTAGCTAGGGCAGTCTGGTGAGACTGTGCCTGTCACACTCTTCTAATGGTTTTCATGGAGAAGACTCTGTCCCTGAAAAATCCTTTTGTACCCTTACTGTTGTTATGCAGTGGGGCTTTGCAGGGCTCTGGGGTGCTGTGTAGCTGAAAAGGATCATTACTGTGTTTATGTGTAACCAGTGCCAGAAGGAGACACCTCCAGCTGTGAACAGTGGTTTCAGGAAGACAGGAGGGTGCAGGTGCTGGAGGCAGGACCAGCTGACCGGTCTAAAGGCCTGTGGACAGGTGCCAGGTTCAGGTGCTGCACCTCAGGAGCCATCTGAAAGTTGCTCCCTGTATTTGTTTTTCCATAGGGAGCTCCTGTGGCACAGGAGAGGAGGCGGGCTGCACTGGGGCTGAGCTGGTTTGATAGGGTTACTGTGTCAGCATCCCCCAGTCCTAGCTGAGGGCTGCTTGTCTGCTTTTTGTTTTCTTCTGAGCCTGACCTAGATGCTGCTCTGGCTTCATCACAGCTAGAGCTGGCTGGCATGGCCACGCTGTGCTGGGAGTCCGGCAGCTCTGGACTGGCTCTGCTTCCTCTGCATCTGCTGCTGAGTGGGGCTCTGTTGCTGTGTTTGGAGGGGCTGGAGGATAGGGAAGGCTGGGAAAGCCAAGGGCTTCAGGCTGTGGGAATGCTCAGCCTTTCACTGCCTAAATGGTGCAATCTGGTTTGTGACCTGCGTGTGCTTTTGTGTGCCCAGGAGCTGTCCCTGGTGTGACTGGCAGCCTGGTGCTGGGGTGAGGATGAGGATGGATTGCAGATGTTTAGTCCAGGCTGCTCTGTCCATCTGAGAGGAGCAGTACACAGGCAGGACTTGTGCCCTGCAGTCTTGGTTTCCCTCAGCACTTAATACTGCAGTATTGGACAGGAGAGGAAGAATGCGAGACCCTCTTCACATGTCCTTGGTGCAATTGAATCTGCTTCAGCGGTATCACCCTTTTTGAAATAAGAAAAAAGACAGTGCCATTCCTCCATGAATTTCCCAAGTGCAGACTCTCGCCCTCTTTTTTTGTCTAATTCCTTCCAGGTCTTTCCTCCCTTGTCCTGCCTCTGATCCTCTGGGGTGTTTGTAATATTCGCTGACGTCTTTTCCCTAGCACATTAGCGGTCTGGCATCTCTGGGCCTTCCAGATTGCCGTGTGCCTCTCTGGAGATGCCTGATGAATGCACGGAGTCTCTCTGGCAGGATGGGTAGGCGGGGTGTCATGGAGCTGACATCCGGAGCCTCCCGCGATGGGAGAGGGATGGCTTTGATCACTGCTCCTCTGAGATGCTGAGCCTCGGGGATGTGGCAGCTGCTGGGGCTGCCTTCTGCCCAGGAGGATGGGGAGGAGGAATCAAGTGCATCTGGTTCCTCTGGAAGGCTATTGCCTGTCTTCAGAAACCTGATCAAGAGAATTACAAATACTCGAGGGTGAGGGAATGGCATCCTCTCTCTGGTAGTGGATTGACCACTGGGGCCTTAGAGGCAGCCTGCATGTGTGGGATGTGGCAGCCACACTGGGGATGGTGAGCTGGGGGCCTTCAGAGCAGAGATTCCTCCAGAACTGGGGGAAGCAGGGAGTCACCTTGTTACATGTTTAAGCAAATGTTCTTGCAGAAGCAGATTCCAGCCAGAGCCAACCTTGGCTGAACACACCTTCCTCTGGTGTGGTGGTGATGGGATGAGAGGGCAGCATCTTGTTGTCCAGTGCTGGTCTGAGCCCCACAAGGGCCATTGCTGGTGCCTCATCTCAGCTGTGATGTATTATGGTGCAGGAATGGATGGGATTGGTGCCTGGGCTCCAGCAGAAATTTCTCTCTCAAATTGCTTGTGCACTCCATCATGGAAGTGTTGGGTAGAAGCAA